AGGACAGATGATAGATCTTTCACCTTGTATGTTCAGTATCCATACCTTCTATTTATATATATTATTGCGTACGGATTTTGTATATTAATCCCTGTACATATCTTGATTTCTCCACAGCATGGCTTGCCTGCAAGATGAGTTCAGTCATCTAGGCATCGCCGCCACAGACCTGCCATTCAAGTCATCCGACCTGGACTCTCCACCCCGCCTGCAGCACCACGACAACTATGCGGAGATCACGGACAGCAGTGCGGAAAACACGTGCCAACAGCGCTGGCCACCTCACGTGGGAGGAGCAGCGGCGGCCTTTGGACATCCGGACAAGCCTATTGGCTGGATGTACGGACTGCTGGGGTGCATGAAGCCCGTGCTCTCGTTCATCGGGAAGACGGGGGTCATCGAGGTGAAGAGTCAGCGGAGCGAGGACTGGCAGATTCCATTCGAGTCCATTACCGAGTTGGAATGGCTGGGAAGTGGAGCACAGGGAGCCGTCTTTAGTGGCAGACTAAAGAACGAGACTGTGGCTGTCAAGAAGGTGAAGGAACTGAAGGAAACGGACATTAAGCATCTCAGGAAGCTCGATCATGAGAACATTATTAAGTTCAAGTGAGTACGGGAGTAATATATATTCATTGACAAAAATAAAAAAATGTTTAAAAATAAATTTCACCCTTTACTACGAAAAATAAAAAATCCATTATCGCATTTTTGGTTGCAAATGAAAAACAGTTATTTTTCCCATTTAATTATCTTTGTTTTGTTATAAATAACTCAATTTAGTAGCAAACAAAAATTATTTTGAACAAAATATGTATTATATGTATTTAGATGTATTTACTTATGATGATTAATATTTGTAATCTTTGCAGAGGAGTTTGCACGCAGTCACCGGTATTCTGCATCATCATGGAGTTCTGTCCGTATGGGCCACTGCAGAATATACTGAAGGAGGAGCAAGTCATGTTACCGTCCCGCTTGGTCTCTTGGTCCAAGCAAATTGCCCTGGGCATGCAGTACCTGCATTCCCACAAGATCATACACAGAGATCTAAAGAGTCCAAAGTAAGTTAAAGAAACATCATCAAAAAGCAAATTATTAACTCTGCTTATTTTTAGCATACTGATTAGTACAAATGAGGTGGTGAAGATCAGCGACTTTGGCACCAGTCGCGAGTGGAACGAGATCAGCACCAAGATGAGCTTTGCTGGCACAGTGGCCTGGATGGCTCCGGAAGTGATCAGGAATGAGCCGTGCTCCGAGAAGGTTGATATCTGGTCGTATGGTGTGGTGCTCTGGGAAATGCTCACCTGCGAGATACCTTACAAGGATGTGGACTCATCAGCAATAATCTGGGGTGTGGGCAACAACTCGCTCAAGCTGCTGGTCCCGAGCACGTGTCCGGAGGGATTTAAGCTGCTGGTCAAGCTCTGTTGGAAGAGTAAGCCCCGCAATCGGCCATCGTTCCGGCAGATACTCTCGCACTTGGATATCGCCGGACCGGAACTCCTAAGAAAAACCGAGAAGCAATATTTTGAGTCGCAAAAGTCGTGGAAGGAGGAGGTGCGATCTCACCTGAAGGAAATTACCCAAAATGGCACTAACATACACAAGTATGAGCAAGATCTGATTAAGCGGCGCACGGCAGAGTGGCGACATGCCCAGGATATCAGAATGGTGTACGAGGATAAGTTGCAGAAGACCAACCAGCTTTTCTTCGAACTCAGCGAGTGCATGTCCCAGTTGCAGGAAAAGGAGAAGGAAATCGCAGAGTAAGTTCATAAGTTATTTAAGTAAGTTTCATTTATTTAAACCCCTGCGTTTTTCAGACGAGAACGGAAACTGCCAGGTAGTGGCTATAAACCCACTCGACGTTTGGGCAACACACTCCGAAAAATGCAGCACTATCGCCGACGCCTGAACGCTGCTCCTGCGGCCATTCAGCAACAATCAACCACGCCAGATCCAGAGACTACTCCGGAGGTATACAATTTTGAGTATTTATATATCTTTGCCGAATCGCTAATTGGACTTGATTTCGCAATTACCTTATGACCACTAAGGGAATATGAACACACATTTCTTTTTTTGTATATTAACAACAGAGAAGTTTGTGCTTGTTTTATAAATAGGCATTTTTAGCTTCTTTGAAATATAAGCTAGCTTATTATAGCACTCGTATTTTTTTAATTTGCGTGGTTACTTTGTAGAAAGAAAAAGCGATAGATAGATAAAGAAAGAAAGCGATAGAACAGCCAATTTTAAAAGTTTGATATTTTAATGTATCGCTTATCGCATTTGTTCCTTTCGTTAAAAATGAGATTAAATGATTAATTATGGCCGATGACGCATAATTTTGAAATGTATACTTAATATCCATTGGTGAACATACAAATTATACAAAATCTCTCTACTTTGCAGTCCCCTGTGAAGTGTATGTTATATGCCCAGCTGGATAGCAATTACCAACCCAAATCGTATCTGGCCAATATCATCCCGGGAAGTGGCGTTGGCACCACAATGCCCAATAAAAACAAGAAGAACTTCCGGCATCGGCGCAACGGCTCTGGATCCTTTGGTCCACCACCGAAGTACAGCCCGACGCGGGATCGTCGCTACCAAAGCGAACCGGAGAACCGAAAGGTGCAGCTGGTGGAGAGGCAAACCCAAACGGATGCCATGGACGTGAGTGAAACGGATGTTAGTCCGAGCGCAGAGGCCCCTCGATCTCAGCCCATCGATGTGCCAGTTCCGAGTCATCGCCAACTGCCGCTGCAACTGCAAAGAGTACAGAAAATTGCCCAAGCTCAAGCGAGGGCCCGAAGTGGAAGCACCTCATCCGCGTCTGGCGCCGTGAAACCCGCTTGTCCGTCGAATGGCAACTCGTTGAGCACCAGCGAGCTGACCTACCAAGATGCCTGCTCTAGTCCCGATCAGCTCATCGACGATGTGATGAACAGTAACGAACGATTGGACATGACTGAATGCTGCAGTGACAACGAAAACCTTGAACGTCTAGGCCGCAAAGTCATCGAATTCATTAACGAAAATCGCCTGTCCATTCAGTCAAACACGAACTCCATCACCAATACCGATAATGGAAACGGAGGAGCCTCACCTCTGGAATTGCGGGAGAGCGGTAACAGTCCGTGTTTAAGTCGTTGCAGCAGCACACATAGCAAACGGCGGAAGCAACCACTAGGGGACAATGCAAACCGCAGTTCGATAGGCAATGCCAACGGGGAGTCCCATGAGCAGGACAGCTGGTCGGATGAGGAGGGCGAAACCACGGACTACAAGTACGCTCTGCGGAGAAGAAGGTGAGTTTGCTCGATTTGTGCCTCGAATTTGAGCTGTAGGGTTAATGCGAATTGTCTCCCATTTCAGCATTGGCCGCCAGCCCATAGCTCGTGGCATGCGACCCCGCCGCAGTTACAAGGCTCCACTCTCCCAGAAGATTGCCATCCACAAGCGCAATGTGGTCATCGTCTCAGACGAGGAGGAAAACACCTCCGAGTACAGCCACTCACCCTCCAGTCAGCACTCGACACTAGAGAGCAATACCGACATTGCGGAATTAAAAAAAACTCAGGCCACATCCACCTCAACCAACAGCTCTAGTGAGCCAGAAGACGATTCGAGTGATTCCAGCGATGAGGAGCTGGGTAATCGGCCGACGGAAGCCAAGGCTGAGGGCCCAGCTTTGCCCATGGGCGCCGTGCGCAGCAGCGATATTATATCTATACCTACTTTCGAGGCTGATGGCGCCGTTAATATGGTCTAACCTGGTACGATATCTAGTCTAGGTGAGGGCCCCTAAGTTAAGCCCAAAGTTCGAGTTGTCCAAGTTAAGCAGCAAAAACTATCTCCTATATACTCAACGAGAAATCGACCTAAACTGTATGGTATTATCTATGTTCATGTCCAGATGTCTAGCTCCTCAACTTTATATGAACCAGAGTAAGCGGAAGATTCTCTCCAAGCGTTGATCGCCTCGGAGCAGTTTTATTCCAGCACACAAAGACCTTTGGGTTGGAGCGATCTTTGCTCGTGTCGTACTCGTATCACATGCATTTCCTATTTTGCTAAATATAATTTCGCATTAGGTTTAGTTAAAATTACCCTTATTCTTGTCCTTAGAGAACTGCCTTTGTAATATATTTAAAAAATGTCATAATTGTACATCTAATTTAAGCCATTAGGTATAGTTTCCGTTTTGATAATAAGAGCTTGAACCACAACTCAAAGAAAAACCCAACAAAAGCCCAACTACAAAGCAACAAAAAATAGAATTGGCCTCAGGCATTAATCAGTAATGAAAGGGAATAGGACGAAATAGTCAGGGATATTTTTTATAAACAAAATTTGCTAAGAACTAAGGAAAGTGTTTTTAAGAAGCGCATTGTACGTATAATTTTGACGCTTTCGAGTGCAAGTATTCCACTTATGTGGGTATCTAGCCCTTCGATCAACCGAGAAGTGTTACTTTCTATATGCACAAAATTCCAAGCTTCAGTGCCTTAATGCAAACACAAACAGAGAATATGTTTTGGATAAATTAAATAATAAACTGGTAGATCTAACCTCGGCTATGATGTGGCCATGAGCGCTTTCTAGAGCTAATAGACAACTTACGGAGCAGATAAGTATATATTTGGTCAAATACGTTTCGCCCCTCTGGAAATCGTTCAACTGCTGCAAACGAATTACAAATTTAATATTATTCTATATACACTGAATATATATATTCTATATATTTACACACTAGTTGGATGTTTAGCTTCGTAAGATATGTCGTTTCTTCGTGGGCGACGCTTCTCTACTTTATGTATATGTATTTCATATTAAGTTTAATTTTAACGACTCATACGAATTAGCAATAATAATAAAATGAAAACTTGCAAGAACGCTTATGCCCTTGAACTTTTATTGAGGCTAGATCCTGGTGAAATATAAACGTTTAAATATAGTCTCCTTGATAGGGTATATAAAATTATGAAGTTTTTACAACCCAAAAAAGGATTTCAATTTGTATTTGCTATTATTTGCCTCTAAATTTGTTTAGTTCACTACAAATTTGATTCTGTCTAAAGGCGATCATTTCGAGTGTCAGCAAGCCAACAGTTTTTGCATCCTCTTGTGGGGAGGATCGTCCTGCCCCGAGCGAAGCATCTTGAGCGCCTTCTCCTCGCGCGAATCGATAATGTGGCACACAACTTCGGACTGCTTGCGGAATGCGATCAAACCAGCGGTGCCCGTAGAGAGATCGAGGTGGCGAAAGCGATCGATGTCGCAAGTGCAGCCATCGAAAATGTAGAACCACGTGGCCGCCGACTCCGACGTCTTGGTTGGGCGATGCCTGAAGACCACATAGTTGCCCCACGGCGTCATCGTGAGCACCCGGTTGGCCACTTTGAAGGCGGAGCTCAAGACCCGGTTCAGGCTCTCCACGGTTCCACTCTCGGATCCAGCGACGGCCAGGAGCTGGGGTACTTGACTAAAGCCCGGAAATCTGACCGGGGTTCGGGACGCGCTTTCCTCCATGGGATCCTCATCGGGACCACAACAGCAACAGTTTTTGGGGTGTTCGTTACATTGCCCTGCACTCTGGCCATTCTTCTGTGGGGAAGGTGGTTTTTCTTTTTGGTCTAGTTCATGGACAAACTTGGAGACAGCCGGTGTATTAAAGTGGGCTGAGACCAAAGGAGCCACTCCCAGACTATTCGACATACACACGGATTGCTGGAGTATGTGAGTTTCTTTCCTTGTCTCAATGGGCGTGGTCATATTCATGTGTGCTTTTCGTAGGAGCATTACTCCCCTGTTGGCAGTTACTTCTTTTCTGTCGCTCGATTCCTTATTGACCACCTGTGATCGTTTACCAATGGTTTCCTTTGGCATTAATAATTCTGGGGCAGTGCCTGTAATGGGTGTTCCCAAGGGATCACCTACGTTGGCACCCATCTTCTTTGAGGGTGTTTCCCGCAGGTAACTCTTACCAGGTGACCTGTTTCTAGACTTGGAACGTAAATGGGACTTTTCGGGAGAACCAATTTGCTTAGTGTTTACGGATTTTTTCATAATCTTTCGAGAAGTATCCTCTTCCTTGGATCTGTATCTTACTGGAGATACTTCCGGAGAAGGACTGGAAGCCGTACCCCCAGTTTGTCTGGAGGACTTTATATTTTTTTGTACAATTCTACTTGAAGACCCGTCTCTAGATTTGGAACGCTCGGGCGATGTGGCTGGCGGTTCTCTAGTTGACATGCCTCCAGCTTGCCTTTTGAATTGTATATTGTTCTTCGTAGTCCTCTCAGGAGATGCCTCTTCTTTTGATATGGAACGTAGAAGAGTATTGTTTGGGGAACGGTTGGACGATCTGCCGCCAACTGCCCTAGACTTCATAGTTCTTTTAAGAATCCTGCCAGGAGGTGGTCCTGCGTTAGGTGTGGATTTTACAGGAGCCCTTGATGGAGGAGAATCGGTACCGAGGTCAGCTTGCTTTAAGGAGCTCCTGCTTCTTTTTATAACCTTATTTGATAAGTTTTCTCTAGATGTGCCACGTCCAGGTGACTTTGGAGAAGAGTATCTGCCACCCGCTTGCCTAGAAGAACTAGCGAATCCCGTGCTCTTTTTACCCAATCCAGGAGTATCATTTTCATTTGTCGCCCTATTGGCCCCCTTTTTGGGGAGGCCCATTCTGGTTTTGGAATACGTATTTTTGCTGGGCGTCATGCGACGTGCACATCTCCTATTTGTTTCCTTTAAGGATTCTGTGCGCATTTCCAGCTCTTCCTCGCAAAGTTCGCACTCTGCGCATGGCTCCTGTTGCTCATCAAGGATTTTGAAATTATCAATGTCGAATTTATCTGCAGTGAGACTGACCACATCCTCCTCATAGTCGCTAATCTCCGCCAGGGCTTTATTACACACCCGGACGCCTTGCTGTTCATTGAACAAGATGGGTTCGTTCAGAGACTTCACCTCCCAGTTGTCCTTATCATCGGGCAGAGGAGCCAAGGCGTATCCGTTTGGACACTCGGCGAGATTGCGTATACGCACCACGTGGACATAGTAGGCAGACTGCCGGTTGGACTCCTTCAGCAGCTGGTGGAACACGCTGAGCATGGTCAACTGGTCACGAAACATGCGCACCGTGGCCCACTTGGCGCCCTCAGCCTTGTCCTCCGCCACATGGGTGCCCACGATGGTGTGGCGATAGGGATCAAGGAGGTAGTAAAACCCATCCTTAAGCCAAATGGCGTACATCTGATTATTGATCTGAAACACAACGTTACAAAATTCCTTGAGAGCCTCCGACACGTGAGCTTCGAATTCGGTACCGATGATGCGGACGCCACACTTCCAGTGACCCGTTCTGACAGTCGGGATCAGCTTGAGTTCCAACACAAACTGTCCCATTCTAAGTTGGGTGGGAAAGGTGTCCAAATCAATGGGTCGTCGATCCCTCAAGCAATCCGACCAGCAACTTTTGCACAATTCCACTCCATAGCTGATTAAACGATCCAGCATATTAGTGTCCCAGTTGGCCGGGTGATCGATTTTGCTAGCCAGGACGGAGGCCACGGCCACCATCAGGCTACTGCGATTCCTCACCGGATCGTCTTCGTTTAACGATAGGTGCAGAGTGCCCTTCAGATAGGCATAACTCTTGTTTACCACCTTGAATTCGATGGATCGGTGGCTGGTGTCGCGCATGTAGATGCGTCCATCCGGGGTCTCTAGGCGCACAACCACCAGTTCCCGGATACTGAACTCATCTTCCGGAGAGATTCCGCTCAAGTTGCTGGCCAGATGGACAACATTATCAATGGACTTAAGGCACACTAGCATTGCCACTCCGTTGTCCTTCACGGTTGCCAGGTCGTCCTTGCCTCTGCCCTTTACGTCCAGGACGAAAAAAACCTTTTTACGCCGCCAGATTAGCAGGTGCCCCACTCGGGTGAGAAGAAGACAATAGCGTCTGGACTTGAAGAAATTCTGTAAAATGGTCCTTAGATTGTTGATGGTATGCTCGGGCTGCTGCTCCAGCGGCTTTGTTCCTACCCCTAAATAGCGGGGTTCCAAAGCCAAAGTAAAGGTGTGTCCTTCGAGATTGAAATTTCTCTTGATCCGCTTCTCTTCGTTGGTATAGATCTCTGGCTCGAGCAGTTTGTTTTCATTTGGGTCGTCCTGCCCTTGATTTACATCCGAGCTGGCTCGAAATAAATCCGTGCCCTCCTCCAGCAACATGTCGATCTTCTCTGCCGTCCAGTCCACTTCTGGCAGGACATAAATCAAGGCAAATGCCTTCAGATAGGTGGCGAAGTTAAGAACATTTACCTCCTGCTGCTTCGGAGAACTTCCGCAGGGATTGTTTACGGTGGCATTTGAGCAGACGAGTCCCACAGGACTACCCAAGGAGTCGGCCTCCACGTCTGAACGATTGGGCACCTTCTCGCAGAACTTCCAGTGATCGCAGCTAGGTTCCGCCTTAAGAAACCCTCCGCCGCAGAACTTGCCGCCCAGATCAAGATCCGAATAGCTGAGATACCTAAGGACGATCAGGAGGACGGTTCAGTTTAAACATTAGCTAAATTCCGGAGTACTCTCCACGTATTGCTCGAGTTGCCCTTAGTACTGCGAGGACAACAGCTCGGGGCGCTGGCCAAACGGCCAAGATCCTGTTGGCTGATCGACATCCTCAGAAATCTGTTACTTTAATTTTGTACAGCAAAAATTTTCCGAGTTTTTTTAGTTTTTGTTCTACTGGAATTTTTGCTGAAAATTGCAGAAAGGAAGAATTGATCCAATATTATTTGTTTTAAAAAAATTTCCAGAAAATGTGGAGTCCAAATTTTAAAAAACTACAAGTTGACAAAAATACAGGTTTTCAAATATTTTTCGAAATTTTTAAAATAAATAATTAAGACATTTTGTCTAATACTGTTCTGATAATCTTATATTTCCCTCCTAATGTGGTTTAATTTCCCATTTTTTACATAACTTTTTTAAACAATATTCAAATCATTCAGGCAATAAATCAATTCTCTACAAAATGCAATTATTGAAAACAACGTTTCTTTCAAGAACATGACTAATTGTTATAAGGTCCTTTGCCACATTTTCTACTCAGTCATTAAATCAATGCTGTACAAAAAAAAGTGCAATTATTGAAAACGGAGTTTCTGTCAAGATATGGTTAATTGTTATTAAACAGGGTTAACTTAACTTTGACAAAAAGGTAATAGTCATCTTCAAATGCAAATATGTGCGCACTCATATGCATTCAGAAAAAAGTTATACATACATAGCTAAGAAAATTGATAGTTTAAGAAATAATTTAATGTATACATATATTTTTGCATTAGTTATTAATTACTTAGAAGTAAATAGGGGGACGAGGATGAGAACTGCTAAGAGCGTCCGAATCGGGATACCCCGCAAGTTATCCATTGTAGCCCACGTTGGTTTGAGGGGAGAGACAGTGTGTTGGTGTGGTCATTGTTTGGACTGCCGGCAGCTCTCAACATTCCATGGCCAGTGAGTTGGAGTTCTCGTTCAAGGCCTTAATCCCGTTCTCGATGGGCATGGCCAGACTGTTGTCGTCTTCGGGATGGACAACAACTGAAGCCACCTCCGATGTGGACGGTCCATCGGTGACCATTTCATCTTCATGGCCGTTCTCCACGCCGTTTCCATTTCCGTTGATGTGCCCGTAATCCCAATTGATCTTGAAGCGGGTGACGCGCGGCTTGCTGGCCAGGATGTTGCGCGTCAGCTTGTCGAAGAGAGGCTTCGTTGGCGGGTTCTCGCGCATCTCCGGGTCCGCGTAGTCGTTGTTCACATAGTAGCCCACACGGACAAATTCCTGGCCGCGGTAGGAGCAGGTTAGCAGGACAATGGTGACGCCCACCGCATCTGGTTCCGGGATTTTGCTGACGTCTGGCGGATCCGCCTGGAAAACAAAGATGTGTCGCCCCTCGGGCACAGGTCCCACGTATATGGTGTCCAGCACTTGGTCGTGCTCCTCGGACTCTGCCGAGCCTACGTAGATCATCTTCCACTCTAGATCCTCCTTCAGCTCCTCAATGCACTCGAACGTCAGCTCGAACTGAAAGGGGTTGAAGAAGCTGCTCGGGTTGTCCAGCACTACCACATTGGTGATGTGCACCTTGGCCATGACTGTACCTCGAGGATTGCAGAGCGTAGACCGAGTTTTTCAAGATTCCTTCTTCGGCGCGCTTTTTTGTCAGCGGTTCTGCTTTTGCCCGCCTGGGGAATTGCGTGTCTTTGCAAAATCCACCTGTTAAACGCTCGGCAAACACTTGATATTTGTAGTGGAATGCTAGTAATTTGTTTTGGTTATAACATAAATCAGGTTTGTGCAATTGTCTGTCGCTATTTTGAGTTTATTTATCACAATTATTCCGCTTCTTTTCTCACAAATTTCGTGGTGACAGCTGACTTCTTTCCCGCGCTTCAAAGTGACCGTTTTGTGGCGCAAGTGGTGGCGGAAAACTCACCACGACAAGTGGCGGAATGTCAAAATACAACGATAGTTGGTTGGTGATCGAGCTTTAATATTTTTAAGAGTACTAATAATAATTTCGTTTCGTTGCAACTCGCCTTTACACGAAATAGAGCGAGAAATAAATGCTAATTTCTGCGGCGTTAGGAAATGGTTACCGACATAACAAAAAATCGCCCCGAAAGAACCAAGCCATATTTGTTTTCATAGCAATATTTTTGTATTTTCTGGAAGAAGAAGCGCTCGATTTTTGCGCAGAAAACAGCTGTCGGCTTTCTGCATGTAGCGATAGTATCGATAAACATTTGCATTGAGTGCCATCTATAGCTGCTCCCCCCAATTGTTGTGTGGTGTTCTGTATTTTCTTTGTAAATAATTGGAGTAATGCTGCACCTGACGGGCCAGAGCTACAATGCCCGCGACATCATCCGGAACATCTTCTCGCCGCTGATCGGCGTGCTGTCCAGTCCGCAGGCGGACGAGATCTGCCACCGGAACAACCTCTCCTTCGTGGAGCTCCTGCAGCCGTTCGCAAAGTTGCCAAATGATGGTGAGTGAATGGGATGTGGATGTGTTGGATTGTGAGGGGTGCACGGGTGAGGTAAACAAGGTATAGACGGGGCCAAGCAAATAGGTATTTGAAGGAACTTCCAACCACTTCGTCTTGGTTATTTAACATTTTTCATACAAAGTTGATTTTTTAAGGTTGTCATCTTGCGGATGACATGTTTAAGCTCAGAAGGTGGTAAACTTTAATGCTATCAATCAATGAAATCAATGATTTCCGCTAAACTATAACAAATGAAATAAAATATATATGTATCACATATATTTTGGGCAGTTTGGAAAATATATTTTTTTAAAGTTGTTTGCTTAAACTAAAAACCATGTAATTTAATTAATATTTAAACTACCCTTGTATTAACTCAAATTTAGCAACACAATCTAAGCTGCAAAAAGTTAAATGATTTTGAACACCATTTTTAGCACACTTTCGCGACGTTTCCGGGACTAGTGTATCGGTTCGTGGACTCCGCCTCAACTTCTGTGACGTGGACTGGCGGCCGCCTCAAACAATTTTGGCCAGGAAGATGCTCAACGAGTCAGTGACCAATGCCCACAATGACAAAACCAGACTGGCCACCATAGGTAAGCGTATTACTAATGCAAATATATCTGTTGGTAACTTATTTACCATTATTCTACAGCTGATATAGACCTTGAGTTGCCCACATCGGAACCATGGTTCGAGCAGTGGCGTGAGACCTTTTTAACTGTGCAGTTCCCGGCGGATCATGAGTTCACCCGACATTTATTAAGCTGTTTGCTAGTGCTTTCTAGCGCAGATCCCCAGATCGTGGAGACCGCCCACAAACTGGGACAACGTGTGCAGCAGATGCAAAGCATTACGCCCCAAAAGCTGCCCAAGTGGTTCCATCCTACCGAGGTCCTAAATAGTTACGTGGTGCTGCACGAAGCCAGCCAGGGAGACTTGTCCAAGGCACAGCAGGGATTCGAGCTGCTCAAATCCACCTTCGGAGACAGCAAGTGTTTTCTGGTGTCGATTAACTCGCTGGACTCTCAAAGCGCAGCCGAAGTTCCAGATCACTGGGCAACGTTTATAAAAAGACAACCCAAAGGTGATGCAAATCTACCCTCGACGGATCTTAGTGCACCGAAATCGCCACAGGAAGCGGTTTCTGTCATATCTATGCCTGCTATGCAAATGTCCCAACTCCTGGAAGGAGCCAGTGCTCAGGATAGCGATCTGGCCATGCTTCATCCGCTCAGTCCCATGCAGGAAAGCGCCACAGAGGCCATTAATTCAAAATTTAGCATCAGCAGCGAGAGTATTGCCTCTCAAACGATTAATCCCAACGTTTGGGGAAATGAATTAGAAGCGGATGCTCCGCACGGCGGGTGTCTTACCAGTCGGGACATTGACAACCTGAGACACTTTGTCCAGGACTATGCTGTTCGAGCATTGATTCCCTATATTGAGCATCTGGTGGCTATTCTCGCCGAGGGAGTGACCAACAAAAAGGGCGTCAGCAAGTCCCTCTTAAGCGCTACGAAACGATGGTTTGTCACTAGCAAGCCGGGAGCAGGAGCAAACAATCAAAACGCAGTTATGTAAGATTTATTATGTTGAAATTAAGATTTATTACATTTTAATGGTTAACCGTCATGTTCACAGCTACACCAAGGAATCTGCGGAGCTCCAAACACGAAAGTTAGGCGATCTCTACTTTATGTTTGGTCATTATAATTTGGCTTTCCAAGCCTACCACCAAGCCAAACGAGATTTCAATGCGGACTCAGCATGGCAATACTATGCAGGAGCCTTGGAAATGGCTGCCCTATCGGCCTTTATGTTGGGTACTGCCCAAAGAAAGACATATGACTACATGGAAGATGCAATTGTGTGTTATCTCACAGTGTGCAAGTAAGTTAATTGTGGGATTTGTTCAACCACATTTTATTATTTTGTTATTGCAGATTGCAGCAATTTGCGACCAGAGCTACGCTCCTAAGCATGGAATGTTTAAAAACTGCGCGACTATATAGTGAAGTGGCCAAGCAATTGATTCGCATGACCAATGAGGAATCAGATCTTCGCTCAGCCCTCTTGCTGGAGCAGGCATCGTACTGTTTTCTAGTAACGCAACCGCCAATGCACAGGAAGTATGCCTTCCATATTGTGCTGGCCGGGAATCGTTATTCCCGAGCTGGACAAAGAAAGCATGCATACCGTTGTTATCGCCAGGCCTACCAGGTCTTTCAAAAGCGCGAATGGAGTTTGGCTGAGGATCATATTCAATATACGGTGGCCAAGCAGGCCTATATGCTAAAACAACTTGAGGAGGCTAGTCGATCTTTTGCCCATTTACTGAGACCTGGAAGCCTTCAAAGTGCCCAACAGCAGACCAGTTTCTTAAAGGAGTACATTCAGACTCAAAATGTAAGTTTGTAAAATGCATAATTTTAATAAATTTACCAAATGTTTATCTGCAAACCATATTTTATAAAACTATCAATATAAAACTACTAATTTATTTTTTTCAGGAACTTGTTAAGCGAAGTCCTGAGCTGGGATTACTACCACATGCCTTACCACAAGTAGTGCAATCTTCCGTTCGTGTTCTTACTTTAGTGCAATCCCCGTCGGCTGTGGCACCTCATGTGCCGGCCACCAACATAGATATCAACTCGAATCTAAATGCAGATGAGCCCATTTGGAACAAGATTGAAGAGATGCTTGTGATCACGGCTGCCAATAATAAACCCTTTGTCTTTAAGCCCTCGAGATACTTGTACACTAAGCAGCAGCCTGCATTGGAAACTCCAGTTGCCGTGCAAGGTGAACCCATTGAGCTAGCTGTTACCCTCTCAAATAGCGTTCGATGTGGAATAACCCTATCCGAGATTGATCTACTGTGGAAACTCACTCTGGACAATGATGAAGTGCTCTCCAACGCCTGTACTTATGAGGAATCATCGGATAGTGCTAATAAAATAGCAGTAGGAGCAGCAATCAAAACGAGCTGTGTGGCTTCCATCAATTTGGCTGAACAGGCCGAAGAAACTTTGCACTTTAAGCTGACTCCCAAGTTGACCGGACGTCTGAATGTTTTGGGAGTCGTTTGCCGTGTAGCAGCCAGTGCGGAACCTGCAGCCAGCCTCCTGGGTACCTTACAGTTCGAAACGCAAAAGATTAGGCCTCACAATGCTAAGCAATCTTCGCAGACTGTTTTGGACAACAGATTAACCATCAAACTGGTTCCCCAACTACCCGCCATGAATGTAAGCTTTACTCCCGTCCCCAGTCGACTGTTGGCTGGTGAAATTGTTCCCGTTCATGTAACTCTTCGGAATCTGGGAATTTCTCCGATTGAGGAGATCTATTTGGGATGCGACAACCCGCGCTGTGTATCCCTTTTGGATCAGCACAGCCAAATGCCACTGGCTATGATGAGTTGTAAGTAACTAATACATTTTATTTATGCATTTTTTTACATTTTACATTTTTTTTTAGCTCTTCGCAATCTTTCCAATGACAAACTAGTTAAGGATAAGGAAATCCGTGCACAGCGCGTTTACCGATTACTAAACCGACCTGGGTTGGCTGCCCTAGACGCCCAGCAAGTTCAAACCATTTCTTTGTGGGTGCAGGCTCCACACCAGGCGGGACCCTTTACCTTACGCCTACTATTTTACTACTCCTTGCCAACGGTAGCCAATTCACCCATTAAATATCGATTGGTTCGCCATATTTGGCAGCTGCAGGTAGAAAGCTGCCTGCAGGCAGACTCCACTTGTGTGGTCAGCAATACGGTGACCAATGAACTGGGACTGGATGTGAACGTTAGGAACCAGCATGCAGTGGAAGGAACGGAAGTGTACATCAACTCTATTTCATTGTACTCCAAGGAATTTAAGTTGAATCCCGAAAAGTTATACAGTAAGTTAACGAATTGATAATACTGAGATCTTTAAGTTGCAACATCAATGAACTTTTAATTTATATATCATTTATATTTTGCTATGTGTATGTAATGTACCTTAAATCTAATACAGGGGATTTTAAACTAATGTATTTTTTGTTTACAGTAATGAACAGTATGGGAGTCAGCCCGGGACAGGCGGGAGCACAGTGCCTCAAGTCTTCCATATGCTGCAATTTCCAGTGCCGCCTTATCGGGAAAGACACACAAGAAGAATTCCAAGACATTCCATCGATTAAAACATTGCTTCATTCGCGACTATCCCATTTGAAGATCTTGCCTGGCCAGCACGCTCAGCAGGTGGAGCAGCACATGCCCTCGATACACGACCCGCACAGCTTCCTCACTAACGAAGAGACGGTGTATTTCAATACCAACATCTCCACGGAAGAGTTCAACGCAAGCGTAGCTGACTATGTTCCACACGCCACATTGGTCCTAAGTTGGAGCGCCTTGGTAGCTAGGGAGGAGGGCCAGCGCTTGGCCTATGGCTTGCACTTTATTAAGCTTTACAAACTTTTTGAGACTGGACACTGTCCAGCTGCGCCAACAGCGTCTTTTCTCCGAAGAAGACATTCTTTTGACGACACCATAGACAATCGACGGGAGTTTCCACTACCCGAGGGAGCGGTTAATAATGAGGATGCTTGGCAGCCCTTGGCTGATGCTGATGAAGAAGACTACTGGGAGCCCAATGATAACTATGTTGCCCAACGGTGTCTACTGGAAGATGAGAGCTTTGTAATGGCTGTAAAAGCTTAAGATATTCGTCAAATGGTGTTATTAAATCATTATATGTTATCTGTCTATCAGTTATATGCTAAAAAATGGTATTGTCATTTGATTGAGATCAAGGTTTTAAAATTAGTAAGCTTTTTGGCCCTCAGCATGTGAAAATTTATATATTTTGTATCGAACGTCACAGTATAAACTAGATCTCACGGTAAAAAGTACCTTCTTCTTTGACCGAGACTCTTAAGCTGCGCATAAAACAGAAAACAAGTTTTAATTGGGAAAGGAATTATGGGATATGGTTAATGGGTTGCCGTTACCGCTTTTGGTTAAATTCATAATTTGTTAGTTTATTAATTGATTGATTTAAAAAAGAATTCATTAATAATACACGCTAGTAATATGCCTTAACATGTAACATTAAAGTTTTAATTGCTTTTTGGTAGTTCCTAAGCTGCTGACTAGACGAGATGATGACGTGGTTCTTAGTGGATGAGTTGATTTCAGTGGCAGCGCAACGTAATAATCTTTGTGGCAGAATTAAAAGCATTTATTATTAGATTTAAGTGCGTTTCTTGCTCATGTAAACTCGGGCTGTGGCGTAGAGGACATGCGTACAAGCGTATATATTGCCCAGAGCGCTACCCAAGAGTGCTCCGATCACGTTCGGTATGGGATAAGCCTGCCAGTCACGTCCCCAGTCCAGTGGGGCCACTACGCTACCGGCCCAAGCGCCCAGAATACCGCCCAGTGCATTGTACTTGAACAGGTTCAGAGCGGTGTCCTCGCACTTGGTCACAAAGTCCGGCTTCTCGCAGAAGCACACTTGAAGGGCTCCACCGCCTCCAAGGAGGAAAACCGTAGGTGACACTGTCAGCAAGGTCATCAGTAAGGCCAAAACGAAAGTCTGCTCATAGTTGCCCAGCACCGGGGCTCCCAAAATGATGCAAATGAAGGCGTAGAGGAGTGTGCACAGGAACTGCAAGGTGAATCCTCCGAGGAGCTCCCGCGGCGTAAAGTACGAGTTCTTTTTTTGGCGCTGTTTAGCGGTCAGGACGCCATCCTCAACCTTCCCATAGAAGCGAGCCAATACAACTTTTAGCAGCTCTCCGAGGAAAACAATAGGGACGACCAGAGAATCCCAGAAGCTGCCGAGATGTGCCCAATTGCGGCGATACTGCATGTATGCCATGCAGATCAGGATGGTGGCAAGGCTGAGGGACACGTGGAAGAGCTGGTGCTTGGTCTTTTGTTGGTCAAATCGGGAAACCATGGTTAAATGCAGATAAATACAATTTTGTTAAATCTTAGACTTGGTTGATATTTTCCTGTCTTCCGTTTATATTTCGCCGGTTATCAACACTGTTTGTACTGTGGGCTTAATACAGAAAACTTCGAAAAGTATAATTTACCAATTTTACATTTAAAAAAACAAAATTCAGATTTGTTTTACAAATGGGTGCTTACTTACAAAATTCAAAAGAATAAAATCAAAATATAAAAAAAAATTAGAAATCCTAACATAAGGGACAACATTCTCAAATTGATTTCAGGTGCTGTAGCACAAAAACAAAGTCATAGGTATTTTTGAACTTGTTAACGCCTAGAAGTATTTCACTTAAAAAAAATATATATACATATATATATATTTTTAAATTTATAAATCAAAAAGATATAAAAATACGCGATTTGCATAAAACATTTTATTCACCTTAAGTATAATCTAAGAGCCGATTGTTCAAAATATATATAACAAAATATGTTGCGTATTTGGGTAATGATATCCATGACGGTAATAATGCTACTGATACTGGTTATATTTCTATTGCCTATTGCAATTCATTTTTTTTTAATTTCACTGGTACCACTGTGCAAGAATAAACGAAATCGTTTTGCAGCACTGTCTGCCGCTGTCATTTCACCAGCCGTCACATAATCACTCACCACACATTTGGACTGCAAATTGTTTTTCTACCATTTCTAGTTATTTCTAAGTAAATTGCGAGTGGATACTGCTTTCAATATGTTAGCCCGCGCTATCCGAGTGCGCCCCATGATGCGGGGCATCGCCTCGGCGTCAGTGTGGACACGGAATCGTCCCGTACAGAGTTCCCTGATGCAATACTGCCGCGATCGCTCGCTGCGCCTCCAGGGATTCCACGGATCCAATTTGATAGTGCAGCGCTTCTATAGCCGCAAGCGGGATGATTCTGACGAGGATCTTATGTCGGAGAGTCAGGGACCCGAACTTATATCCGAACGGGATTCCCAGCTTCCGGCAACCGTGGCGGTGCCGGACGTGTGGCCACATGTCCCACTGTTGGCCATGCGCAAGAATCCTCTCTTTCCCCGCTTTATGAAGATTGTTGAGGTAAGGTTTCATGCCACTAGAGGACCATGTGTATTATTAATTGATCCAATCAATAAGCTAGGCTTTTAATCAGTTTTTAGATAATTAAAAAGCACGCCCTAATAATAAAGTAATATTAAATTCTTTCGTTTCCGAAAAATCCGATGTGTAATCAGGTATCCAATCCCATAATCATGGACCTGCTGCGTCGCAAAGTCAAGCTGAATCAACCTTATGTGGGTGTCTTCCTTAAAAAAACTGATGGCGAAGAGGAGCTTATTACCAATTTGGATGATGTCTACAATCTCGGGTCATTTGCGCAAATCCAAGAGCTCCAGGATCTGGGTGATAAGCTCCGCATGGTTGTGGTGGCCCACCGTCGTATTCGAATCACAGGCCACGTGGTAGAGGACGTACCACCTCCTAAGCCCGGTAAGCATATTTTCCGCAAACCCACTAAGCGCCCAGATATGTGACGTATGTTTCTGCCCTTAGTGAAAATGACAACTTTGCATTATCCTCTATTTAATATAAAATTACAAATCCCAGCTGAAGATCAAAGCACTGATCAAGCGGATGCGACGCCTATAAAATCAAGGCCCGACACAGCCCGAAAGCCTCGTGGCCGAATACCCAGGAATCGGTCCGGAAAATCACGTGAATCGGCGGCCGCTGAAGAACTTGCACAGAACCAGACTCTAGAGCCGCCACTGAAATCAGGCAAAGTAGAGTCATCGAGTTCGCCAAAGCCTCCAACACAAGGAGAGAAAGTGGATCCTGAGACTGCAGCGGAAGGAAATGCCAATCAATCTGCGCCCAGCGCCCAACCTGTTCTAATTGTAGAAGTGGAGAACGTGAAGCAACCGATTTATAAACAAACCGAAGAGGTAAAGGCATTAACTCAGGAGATAATTAAGACTCTTCGGGACATAATCACAATGAATCCCTTGTACAGGTATGTCCAAATATTATTTAAATACCAAGTTTATCTATAATTTATTGTACTTCCCAGGGAGAGTCTACAGCAGATGCTGCATCAAAATCAACGAGTTGTCGACAACCCCATTTATCTGTGTGATTTGGGAGCTTCCCTTTCCGCTGGAGAACCAGCTGAGCTGCAAAAAATTCTTGAGGAAACCGATGTAAATTATATAAACTTTTATTGAATGTATATATTATATATATATCATTATTCCAGATCCCAGAACGTCTACAGTTAGCCTTAACTCTACTCAAGAAAGAGTTGGAACTCTCTAGACTGCAACAAAAAATTGGACGCGAAGTAGAGGAAAAAGTCAAGCAGCAACATCGCAAATATATTCTCCAGGAGCAGTTGAAAGTTATCAAAAAAGAACTTGGCATCGAAAAAGACGACAAGGATGCCATTGGTGAAAAGTACCGCGAAAAGCTTAAGGATAAAGTGGTTCCCGAAGCCATTATGACAGTTATTGACGAAGAGCTTACCAAGCTGAACTTCCTGGAGAGTCACAGCTCCGAGTTTAAGTGAGTACTTCTAAATACTTTGAAAATAGCTTAATTAATTGTTCCTTTATTTTTAGTGTAACACGTAATTACCTCGACTGGCTTACTTCCCTACCTTGGGGCGTTATCAGCACCGAAAATCTCTGCCTGGAAAAGGCAACTGAAATACTAAACGACGATCACTACGGAATGGAGGATATCAAGAAGCGTATATTGGAATTCATTGCGGTCAGTTCTCTAAAGGGCTCGACGCAGGGCAAGATCTTATGCTTTCATGGACCACCTGGTGTGGGAAAGACAAGCATAGCGAAGTCCATTGCGCGCGCTTTGAACCGCGAGTACTTCCGCTTCAGTGTGGGCGGAATGACAGACGTGGCCGAGATCAAGGGTCATCGTCGCACCTATGTGGGCGCTATGCCTGGTAAACTGATTCAGTGCCTGAAGAAGACTAAGATAGAAAATCCACTGGTACTAATCGACGAGGTGGACAAGATCGGCAAGTAAGTAAACAACTAACACCAAGATATACCATAATCTAAAATATAACTTATTTCAGGGGCTACCAGGGAGATCCTAGCTCAGCATTGTTAGAGCTACTAGATCCCGAGCAGAATGCGAATTTCCTGGACCACTACCTCGATGTGCCAGTGGATCTTTCGCGAGTGCTGTTTATTTGTACAGCTAATGTGATCGACACTATTCCCGAGCCGTTAAGAGATCGCATGGAATTGATTGAGATGTCTGGGTATGTTGCCGAAGAAAAGATCGCCATCGCTCGTCAGTATCTCATGCCACAGGCAATGAAGGACTGTGGATTGACGGATAAGCAGATCAACATTTCCGAGGATGCCTTAAACATGCTGATCCGCAGTTATTGTCGGGAATCCGGGGTGCGAAACCTGCAGAAGCATATCGAGAAAGTTATTCGCAAGGTGGCCTTCCGACTGGTCAAGAAGGAAGGCGAGCACTTTCCGGTTAACGCTGATAATCTGACCACATTCCTGGGTAAACAAATCTTCAGCTCAGATCGCATGTATGCGACAACACCGGTGGGTGTAGTCATGGGTCTGGCCTGGACGGCCATGGGCGGGTCATCGCTTTACATCGAAACCTCGAGGCGTCACATACGCCAGGGGACGAAAGCAGATCCGAATGCTGTTGGTGGATCGCTGCACATCACCGGAAATTTGGGAGATGTTATGAAGGAGTCGGCTCAAATAGCCTTAACGGTAGCGCGCAACTTTTTGTATTCGCTTGAACCCAATAACTTGTTCTTAGAGCAAGAGTAAGTTTTTATTTTTGCTTTGTATTTTATTATTGTTATTCTGAATATTTATCTTACAGACACATTCACCTCCATGTTCCTGAAGGGGCCACACCGAAAGACGGTCCCAGTGCTGGCATCACCATTATTACAGCTCTCGTTTCCTTGGCCACTGGAAAGCCGGTGCGCCAAGACGTCGCTATGACGGGCGAAGTATCCCTGAAGGGAAAAGTGCTACCCGTTGGTGGTATTAAGGAAAAGACGATTGCAGTAAGTAAAAAATAATTAATTGGGCTATTTATGTGTACATCCTAAATATCTTTCAATCAGGCCCGTCGTAGTGGAGTGAATTGCCTTATTCTGCCTGTGGATAACAAGAAAGACTTCGAGGAGTTGCCCACGTACATTACAGAAGGTCTGGAGGTTCACTTTGCTACAACCTACGAGGACGTCTACAAGATAGCGTTTACTGATGTAACCAAAACGACAACCAACGATGTTGTGGAGCAGGAGCCACTGCAGAAAGTTTCCAGTGCGGCCGCTGCCCAGTCGGGGACATGGCCTTAGTCTTAGCTTTAGCTTGGGGGTTGAAACGGGTGTTGATAGTTTTTATAAATAACGATCGTTTTCAGGTTAATTAGTGTATTTAGACCATAGCATTTGTTAATCCTAATGCCAAGTAAATTGAATGTACCATCGAACTGAAGACGTTAGTGCGTATATTCTAGACATCTGCATTAGCCAAAATCCAGTCCAGGTAGCGATCCACTCGTGTGTAAATACCCGGGCGACCCCGCTCTCCGCAGCCGACGCCCCAGGACACGATGCCGATTGTGACCCAACGCTGGTTGGGTAGTTGTAGCAACAGTGGACCTCCGCTATCGCCTTGACAGGAGTCCTGACCCCCTTCCGGAAATCCAGCGCACATGGCGGTGTCCGGAACGTGCTGTACAAATGACGACCGGCATTCAGACTGCTTCCAAACCGGCAGGTTAACCTGAAATATTTCTTATTTTAAGCAAGCGTTCTATGCAAAGATGAAATTGTTATGTTCAGCTTGAGTAACAAAAATCCTTATGACCAATTTGTTTCAAATTTTGTTTGGATCAAGCTTAAGAACATAGTAAGAAACGCGTATAAAAATTGAATTTAAACTTTAAGATTTGACCCACCTCCATGAGAATGTTAGAATGAGGTCCGCCAAATTTTTGGGTGCCCCAACCGGTGACAATGGCGTTTCTGTCTGACCAATCCTCATTCACGGGCGGCATGCAAACTGGCCAGATGTAGGTGTTGAATATAGTCGCTCTGTCGATCCTGACAATGGCAATATCATTGTCGTAGTTCTGAGGGTTATAATCGATGTGGGACACCATGTTGGCAATCCGGAAATCCCTCGCCCTCGTCTCATTAAGCATATGAGTGTTGTACTCGCCCAGACGCACAAAGATGTCCTCCTTGTTCTTCTTGTAGATACAGTGCGCTGCAGTAAGCACATGGCGGTCGGTGATCAAGACTCCACCGCACCAAACGAAGGGCAGGCCCTCCTGCAACAGGGCCGCCATCCAGGGCCACTCGTCTGGCTCGGCTGGCCGTCCCCCGGTGAGTCGCGGAAACTGCCTCGAGGTGACTCCACAGCCTCGCTGCTCCGGTCTATTAACGATACGCGGCTCATCACTGGCCGTATTGGTCACGACTTGCGGACTAAATCGGTTGCTCGTCGACTGGTCGGTGCAGCAAATGCCAATGGAGCTAAGGTAAACATATCAATTTTTGCTTTTAAGACAAGGTGTACATCAAAAAATCTGAATATATGTACAATAGTCCACTTAACTAAGCGGCCACCTACCTTTTCTCAATTATGCACAGCTGAGAGACCAGACGCCAGACATCATTCTTCAGTTCTGGCATGCGACAGTAGATAATGTGGCGACATCGTCCGGACTCACCCAAAGGAGTGCTACATGATCCGTAATCCTTGTTCTCCTGCGGTTATTAGTTGAAGAAACCATACCTATATGTAAGTAGGAGAAAAGCGCACTCACCAGCAATTGCGAGGTGGGAGCCTGCCGCTTGTTTAGGCGATGACGGGACAGGAAATTCACGACTTGGTTGTCCCCAGTGCGATTTTCATATAACTGATTTTCGGACTCTCCCCACTGAAACTCAGCATTATCGCTGAAGTCCAGAAGATCTAAGTGGTATAAGTAAGCATTTTAAATTTTTTGTGATAAAAATAAGAATTATTCGGGTGAACTCCGATATAGAGAGGTAATAGAGATATATAATATATATGTTATAAAAACCTCACCTATGAAATCACTGGATAGAGTCTTGGCGACTGTACAATGCGGGACGTAGCCCAGTAAAGTCACGAATGCCCAAAAAAAGGCCTTCATTTTGAGGTATTTCCGCGACTGCCCTGGGACTTTTAATCGCGTGTCGCTTTCGTTGCCCGCTGAATCAGTTCTGTTTTGTGCAGTTCTCTAGCAGCGAAAGCTACTGTTCCGATATGGCAGCCGGGCTCAGATCGGTTGACTTGCCTTGGATACAGCTGTTGAACTCGTTCGATGCGTTGACACTATTGGGTTTTCCTGGCTAATGAAGTGGCTCTCAGGCAGCTCGAGTCACTCTATGTATGCTCAGTTCCCAGGCAAAAGCTTTCTGGGATGGGAACCGCCACTTATTCAGTAAGTATTTTATAATATTTCGAGTTCATCCGAGTACTTGGCTTATCTACAGGGCGGAAAGCGAGCCACTGAGATGCGGTCCCCTTTAATGCTTATGAGCTTAGGCCCAATTTTTTTCCGTATTATCTCAATAGCTTGGCAACATGTTGCCAGGGGCGAAGTATTGCCCATGACGATCAGTTTGGATTCTCCGAGGAGAACGTGATGTGCATCGCAAATGATCCGGTTCGGTGGGTTTTGATTCCATAGAAGTATCATCTCCGAAATACTAAGGAAGATTTTATAAGTGCTCAAGCTATATTCTCTATTTAATTGCCTTTTGACGCTTGCAAATCAAAGCAGTAATAATAAATCAATTGCATGGCAGAACCGGAATCGGAGAAAATATTTGCGATGTAAGGTTTGTTTGTTTGTGTCTCTGCAGAAATTTACAAGTCCAGGGTCATGATTTTAGCACTTAACGTTTAAAATTTTAATTTGAAGGTAGTATAAATAATATAATTGGTTTATTAGACGGCGAAGACATGGAATGGGGTGACATTCGCTGGGAGATAAGTTCATTGTAATATAAGACGAATAACCTATAGATGTACTAAGGAATATGTATAAAATAGAAGGCGGCAAAAAAATAGCCAAAAATATCCTTGAAAAATATTATATCGAAGACGAAACTTTTCTTCCTCGAAACTTTTCCGGCGCAGTAAACACATCGCTTAACCACTTTCCCCTGCATATAGGTTTAAAATTGATTTAATATTTATTTAACGGGTATCTTAAAATTCGAGTATTATTAAGTCATAAAAATGTTACAAATACAATTTCCTAGTAAAGTAAAATGGCGTGCAAGTGCGTTAGTTAATTGCCAAACCCTCAGACTTAATTACCACCTTTCCCTGCCACTATGACCACCTATAAAACTCTCCCACGACATGGCTACTCGACTATTACTTTTGTTATCGGTCACCATGAAGCATTGGAAACGACGCTCTTCCGCTGTTTTGACTATCGTCCTGCAAGTGCTGATACTCCTGCTTCCCGATCCTGGAGTTGCCATGACGATGGACCAGTTTTTGACCTCGCTAGACATGATCCGTAGTGGCTGTGCGCCAAAGTTTAAGCTCAAAACAGAAGATCTCGATCGACTTCGCGTGGGTGACTTCAACTTTCCGCCATCACAGGATCTTATGGTGAGTGCGGCTCGCGTTTTTAGGCAACAGTGACAGCTGCCTTTAATTGAATCCTTTTTCCCGTTAGTGCTACACAAAGTGTGTGTCCTTGATGGCGGGCACTGTGAATAAAAAGGGGGAGTTCAACGCGGCCAAGGCCCTGGCCCAGCTTCCGCATCTGGTACCCCCGGAAATGATGGAGATGTCCAGGAAATCCGTTGAAGCTTGCAGGGATACGCGTAACTACACTTACATCTATCTTCCAATGCTCCACGTATAAATATATATACTTCGTAGATAAACTATTCAAGGAATCGTGCGAGAGAGTCTACCAAACGGCCAAGTGCTTCTCTGAAAACGCCGATGGGAAGTTCATGTGGCCCTAAAAAAGTTTTTGGGTACTAAACTCATTCGGGCTTATTCATAGATGACCAGTTTTTAGATAGTTTCTGGAAAATGTATGTCTGAATCATCAAATTAAATTGGGAAATCCTTGAAATCTTAACCTGAATTAGTACAGGAAAGAAAGCTAGCTTCGGCAAGCCGAAGATTATATACCCTTGCAGTAATATGTTGTTGATTAAATGAAAAACAAAACGTTGATTTGAAACATGTTATAGTTTATTGCTGATATTATTAACTAAATACAACGGTTTTATGTTCGCAGAACGCACATTTATACATTTGGTAATTTATAAATACCCAATTGGCTTAGCAACGCATTCAAACTTAGGGGATCTTTGCATTCCAGAGGTTACAAAATAAATGCAAAATCTTATACAAAATGGTTGCCTTGCAAATCTGTGTACAAAGTTCTCTCGTTAGCTATGTATTCATCGTATTCGATATCTTAAATTTCGGGTTCGGTATAGAGTAGTGTCTTCATAGATCTCTCCAAAAGGGGCTCACAAAAATATATCCGATTAGAGCGTGTGTGCGGATTTAGTTGATGACGTTGATGAGGATGGTGAGGAAACCTGTGCGGCGTTTAGACGGTGGTTTGTGTAAACAACTAAGAGTCTAATAGCGTTCACACGTATATATAGTAGTTAGTACATTGTATATAAAATCAGTACACATTAATGCTTGTATATTGAACCGTTTCTTAGCTGGCTTGGAAATGTTTTTAACTGCTACACACACATCTAAATAGGTTGGTGGTTCCGTACACACCTAGTCATACACAAATAGGTATATAATTTGATATATCGTAGTTATTATTAGGTGGAGATCGACATGCCCGTTGATTCCACTGGGATTGTGTAATGCCGTTGATTGTGTTGTGCGTGGGATCGAATGATGTCTGAGAGGTGGAGAGTGTATACATATGTCGTATAGGGTTTTTCTCCTTTCATAACTAACCTAGAGGTTGCTTGTGCTTCGAGTTGAGTTTTCGTTAACATTACCATCTGGGATCACATTTAGGTATATCAAATAATAAAGTAGAGCGCTAAAGCTTTTCCATCAGCCCTGTTTCAGTTTTCCGCAGAAAATTGTTTGATATTTTAAGATTCCTTGCAGGGCTTATAATCCTATACCTTATACTTGGTCTTCAGAGGAAGACATGGAATTCGGTTTGTGCTTAAAACGTTTGAGCGTAGAAAATTCTTCTGGACAAGACCCATTAAAGTGGTAGGATGACAGGAAACGATTGCTGAGTAAAAGTTGTGTCCGGGGAGGGCTCGTGGTAATTTTGATTATGTTTTCCCACTGCATGGGCAACCATTATTGCCATTATTGCTGGCTTAGTCCATCAGTCGAACGCCGGCTTGAACGTCATCGGCGATGCTGACTCCTTTCTTTTTCTTCCCCTCGCCAGCGGGCTTCTTCTTGGTCAGGACTAGGGTTTCCGGCTCATCCTGGGACTGCTGTCGCTTGCCATTTCCGCTGGCTCCACCTCCACCTCCTCCTCCTCCTCCGCCTCCGCCGCCGCCACCGCCGCTGTTGCTTCTCAGTTTGAATCGCGTCGTGGCCGCCGCTGCATTGTTGTTGGCACAATTGCATATAGCATCGAAGATCCGCACCACGAATCCTCGGGCGCGATTCACCACCTTGCCGTTCTTAAAATCTGGTATGGCGAAACCTGAGAGATTAGTGCATGCGAGGCGCAGAAAGTACAAAAATACGGAAATAAAGATCAGTGATACGCAAAATACAAGTTAAGTGCAACAAAATATGGTCATGCAATCGAGCTGGCTGGGGTTGGAAAATGGGTGAAAATGGCGTGCGAGTGCATTTGTTAATTATTAATTATTTGCTTTCATCCGTTTTAATTGCCACCTGTTAACAACCATTGAGGAGGCCTAAAACTGTTGCCCTGTCATCAGTAGGATCATTTTGTTTCCGCGACCGGTAAAAGCAGCCCATTTTTATCTAGCACGTTCAGAGCTCCTTTTTCAAACTTAAAAAGTTCGGTATAACATTACGCGGAGTTTCCCTTAATCAGCAAAAATGTTTGTAATATTGATTTTAGCGCGAATATTGACTATTTCACTTTTCCTTCTTTTCTGTGGTACTAATATTATATTTCTAATTTTTCAGATTTAAATCGCATCCACCAACTTTGAGCCTAGGCACTCTTAAGTGACTTATGCCTGCTCTTTACTCAAGGCAAATTTGTAGAACCCTTATCTCTGCTTCGATTTTCGCAGACAAAGAAAAGGGGTTTTGTGCACAAGAGTCTATTCAGCAGGCAGCACTTGGTGAGGGGTTGCTGAAGTGCTCAAAAAGGAAAAGCCATACACTATCCAAATAGCCAAGAAGCGAAAGGTACTGGACCACACTGCGTATACTTACTCGGTCGTTTTTCCTTGCCCTGCAAAGGAATTTACAAGTGTTTCAGTTAGTTCGAAGACGAATATCAAATATATGTGGTCAACCTGTTGCGATTTCTGGCTCTCTACTGCTCGCCTGTTGGCCTCGGTCTCAGCCCGCAGGAGCACATCGTCGAGCGCCTCCCGCAACGCTGCCATGTTGTGGGGATTTTGCTTGAAGGTCTCAATCCTTGCCTCCAGTGACTCCGTTTTGATTCCATCTACGCTGTCCGGAGACGCTGGCTCGGGATCCGCAAACCTGGCATGCATCTTTCCTGTGTTTTTTTGAGAATTACTCGAAATTACTTGAAAATCCTGACAGAACCGCTCCGAGCTTTGCTGTCCTGCGATGGGTATCTACAAGGAGTGTTGAGCAGAGCTCTTTGTGCGTTCACCCAGGAATGCGCTGGAGAAATCAATAGCAAGCCACTTGGTGCCCATACCCGCACATGCGTGCTGACTGCGTGGGCAAGCTTTCGATTTTGGGTGGGAGAGCAGTGCCTTTGCACACAAAAAAAGAGGTGATTTTAACAGTTTGTATAGTACAGAACTGTAACTTAATATTCCGATGAGGATTCCTTGAATGTTTCTGTTCACTAGCCGGTGTTAAGGTAATTAAAAATCTAATGAGGACTAAAACAATTTTTCACAAAACTTGTGAAAATAATGATTTAATATTCTTTCTCTGTGTGTGGTTACATATTTTTGGGGTAGGATCCCGCATTTTTTGTCTTATTGCATACGAACTGAGCTGGCTACTCCAGGTGCGAGAGATCGTCCAGCTCGGGCGGTGCGCGCACAATCTCCGTCTCAATGATCAGCGAGTTGGCGTCTAGGGTGCTCTGAAAGATTCAACTGTTATACCATCAACTGCTGGCGCTTCGCTACCGGCACTAACACACACATTCTCGTTGCTCCGCTGTGCAGCTGCTAGTAGACTGCCGCTCGAGCTTGAGTTCGAGTTGGAGGCATTGGCCGCGTTAGAGGCCGCGGAGAGCACCACGCTGTGCGGGGAACTGCCACGCCGCACCACCTTTGCTTGGCCCTGCTGCGGCGAGTTCTGGGTGACTATCACAAACTTTTGCGGCGGCTGGTTGGCCTGAATGGCTCTTATTTGGGGCAGGGATGAGACTCCGGGACTTCTAAAAAGAAAGAAGATTCAGCAGCTTAGTATAGTCATAAAAAGACATGTTAACATGGTAAAAGTCTAGGGTAACAAAGTTAACATTAATATAAAAAGTAAAGGGGTAAATATTTACCCCTGTCTCTGTGTGGTGGGCATGGAGACTCGTCCGATGGTTGTTGCTGTTTGGGCTGCACTCGTGATGGGTGCCGTGTTGATCGTGTTAGATGACAGGGTTACAATGCTTGAGGCGGGCGCATTTCGAACTTTGACTACTGCCTGACACAGCGACGGCCCCAGGAAGCCAAAGTCGTTTTTGTAGTCCTCTGCTGTATCTGGGGCTGAGCGCATTTGCTTGAGGATCGGGGGACAGCACTTTTGAAGCATGGCGCGAATGTGACCTGCTGCTGTCTTGTCAGTGTTGCTAATGGAGGTGCCGAGCAGGTGAGGTTCAATGCGCTCCGATATGAACTTAAGGCGGGGTATGATGAAAACTTTTATTACTTCACCTCCCAGCTCCGAGAGTCCCGCAATAGAGCCGTACAGTGAGGATAGGTGCGTCTTATCGTTTTGAAGGGCCTTGCTGAAGATGCTGGAGGGTTGGAAAATGCTTGTTAAAGAGTTATTAACTATGAGTGGGTGCGATTTACCGGGTGACACGGGTTTGCAGATTGTTGGTTAGGGTGTTGAAGTTCTTGCAGATTTGAGCCATCAGTCGGGAGGCAAAGTCTCGCAGGGCCCAGTGATTATCCAGCTCCGGGCGCATACACAGCTGCTTGGACACAATGCAGGTCATCACCGAGGGTATCAGTTCGTGCAGCTATGTGGAGACAACATCGTTTGTATGAGAAACAAGAACAAAAATGAAATAAAAAATGTCCTACGTATTTCTCCAGAAACAGCGATGGGTTATCCAGAAGCGCACGAACCATGCGCATGAGGTATATAAGCAGCGCCAAGTTGTTCTGAACCACATTGACCTTAACTCCCTCGGCAATGAAGGTGCACATGCGGGGAAGCATTTCGTGCAGGCCTGGATCGGATCCCAGCGACTGCAGCGCCTCACCGCGCCGAGGCTCATCCGATCCCACGCAGGCCTCGGTGATCTCCTTGTAGTACAACTGTTGCTCCACAGACAACTCGTGCGTGGCCAGTTGCTTGACGTGAATGGTCTCGACGTTCTTTAGCTTGTGGATCTTGCCGGTAGTAGGTTTGCCAGCAGCATCTTTGTTTAGGCCTTGATCCAGCTTAATAACCGGATTAACAGAGTCCAAGAATTGGGAATCCTTCGAGAGCGGCGGTGGGTTTTCAGGCACAGTGGGTTGTACTCCCTCCACAACAAACCAATGGGAACGCAGGGTGAGATCCAGAGGAATTTTTACAGAGTTGCTGGAAGTGATCTCTCCAAGGTCGATTTCCTTGTCCTCGGTGAAGTGCAGCTCCCTTCCTCCGCCAGACGCGAAGCGGAATGGAATGAAGTCCTTCGCTACGAAGCCGTACTGCGGTTCCACATTTCGGACTTTAAGGGCCATGTCGATGTCCCGCACTGAGAGCTTCTGCCGCTTGGCGTGGTGCATGAACTTGGCCGCATCCTGCACAATCCTTTTCAGCTTGATGGACACATCCTCCGCTAGCTCCTTGGCGGCGTCATCCGACAGGGAGCCCACTCCTATGCTTTCCGCGATCACTTTCATGGACTCCGAAGAGATGCTGGAGCCGTACAGCATGCTGCTGGAGGCGCTGCTTGATTTCGACGCTTTTCCACTCATTTTCTACGTTTTTACAAATAAACAAATAATATTCGCCGAGGTGCTCGGCCAGTGTGTACACACCGCGATTTAAAAACCTAGCTATTCTGGCTTTTTTTGTCGTTTAATTGCTATTGACATTTTGACTTTTTTCGATTTCATGTAAATATGTAAATATTTAAGCAATAGCTTAAAAACTAATGGTATCTTTGTACAAAATTATATTTTTAATAATTTTATATACTTCAGTACTGATTTCGCATAATATTTCGTGAGTATTTTCTAGCTAGTTTTAACCAGAACTCACTGTTGGCAAACGATAGATTTCGATAGTTGCCTGCGAAATTCCACCGCACGGTCACACTGTAGCGCAGACATCACGTACACCCCAGCTGGCCACATTAAAACGCAGTCTTTTTCTTTATTTATGTTCGTAAATTTTTGGTTGCCTGGCTTTTTGTTGTTGCGCCACATTAACAATAACAATTGAAGCGCCCCACCGCCGCCCACGAGTCGAGAAAAAAGTGAAATATCGGGACCGCGGATTAATGTGCCACATGCGAGAGGCGTTGCAACGTTGCGTCGTCGTCGGGCGTCGAACAAAGCAGTTTTTGGGAAAGTGAAAACGGCGCCATTTTAGAAGCTGGCAAGCCACGACCAAAGGCTCAAGAAAAGTGCAAATGCAATGTGTGCAGCAATAGATTCTCCTTTCGGCACAAACAAAACCGACTACTAAGGTCGCGAGTGCAGGTGCTAGCCCAGAAAACAATCAAGCGTAAGTGTGGTGTGGGATAGGTTTTTTTTTTGGACTATGTCGCCGCGGATGACCTACTTTAAATGCGATTAAGAGAGCCACCAAATCGAAAACACACTTGGCTAACAAAAGTGAACCTTTGCAGCTCCCCAGCGACTCCAAAATATGAGCTGTGGCCAAAATGAGACGGCAGCAGCAAAGGTTCTGGAAACGCAACGCGCACAAGAATCCGGCAGTGAAAATGAGGCAAGTGTTTCAAATGGCCCCTATCAAGCGGTATTTAAAGTGTATTGTTCTCCTCAGGAAACCGATTCCATTACGGATCAATCGAGCCAGTCGAAGTCGATTAAGTCAGCCACACAGTTCAGCGTGCAGCGTTCGGACACCGATGGCCTGCGAATGAGAATCTCGGCCATCCGCCCCCCATCAGGAGTCCTAGCAACCAAGAAACCCCCAAAGCCCAGAAAAATGTCCACACAGGACACCGAGTCCGGCTGCTCGGAGGTCAGAAATAGAGCAGGCAGCAAGAAAATCAAGGTCAAGCGCAAGAAGCTGGCGAGTGCAAGTGGGATTAGTAAATCGGACAAAGTGTCCAAGTCCAAAAAGTCACAGATCTCGGCATTTTCCTCGGACTCAGAGGACGACCTGCCCTTGAAGGTCCATCAGCAGAGAGCTCCGCGATTGCTGCTCACTGCTATCTCCCAGGCGGCTCAGTCTGCCAGCAAACCCACTTTGGATATCGGAATCTCCTCCAGCGACAACGAGTTACCTAACCTTGTGCAGGCGGCAATCAAGCGAGTGGAGAGCGATACGGAGGACACAACTGTGGAAGGGAGTTTCCGCAAGGCGGCGAAGGACAAGAACCTACCCCAGTACCAGTCAACATTGCTGCAGGACTTCATGGAGAAGACTCAGATGCTGGGGCAGACCGCCAATGCGAAGCTTTCCGAGGAGAAAGTGGCTAAAGCTAAGGAGGAGCCTCTAGCGCAAACCGCTAATCCTCGGAAGCGCAGAGGTAGACCCAAAAAAGTGGTTTCCACAGTTCCTGCGCCTGGAAACTCTGGTCCTGCTATAAACGAATCTGCCGATTCGGGTGTGATAAGCACCACTAGCACGACGCAGAGCACCACTCCCTCCCCAAAAATGCAAAATGAGAATATTGTTCCCACGGGAGCGCTGCCAATTGCCTCCAGCAGCAAGCCTAAGATCGACATGGCGTACCTAGACAAGCGAATGTATGCCACCGAGCGGGTGCTATATCCACCGCCCAGGAGTAAGCGGCGGCAGAACAATAAAAAGGCACCCTCCAGCTCATCCAACAAAGAGGAACTTCAGCTGGATCCTCTGTGGCGGGAGATCGATGTGAACAAGAAGTTCCGGCTAAGGAGCATGAGTGTGGGTGCGGCTAGTGGCACTGGGGCGAGTACCACCATTTGCAGCAAAGTCCTGGCCGCCAAGAGCGGTTACGTCTCGGATTACGGAAGCGTACGACATCAGCGAAGCAGCCACAACCACAACTCCGGTTACAAGTCCGATGCCAGCTGCAAAAGTCGATACAGCACCAAGAGTTGTATGAGTCGCAGGAGCAGGGCAAAGAGTTGCGGCTACCGGAGTGATTGCAAGGAATCTGGAAAGGCAGGTCTACGGATGAGACGGAAGCGCCGTGCTTCCATGCTCCTGAAAAGCTCTGCAGACGATCCTGTCGAGGATCAGGACATCCTTCAGCTAGCTGGATTATCTCTGGGCCAGAGCAGTGAGGAGAGTAATGAGTACATTAGCAAGCCGAGCCTTAAAAGTCTGCCCACGACAAGTGCTAGCAAGAAGTACGGCGAAATAAACCGCTATGTGACCACCGGGCAGTATTTCGGTCGTGGCGGCAGTTTGACTGCCACCAACCCGGATAACTTCATTAGTAAAATGATGAACCAGCGGAAAGAAACTCCGGCTCCCAGCAAATTGTCCTGCAAGATTAAGTCCCGCCGCTCCTCGGCAGCCAGTATGTGCAGCAGCTATGTGTCTGGGGTGTCTAGAATGCGTCGCAGACATCGCCGAAAGAGTTTTAGTCACAACAAGTCATTGAACATTGATTCCAAGCTGCTCACCGAAATTGAGATTATTACTAGCACCTTCAACTCAAGGTGCCGAATCCAGGACGATCGTTTGACCGGGAGCAGTGGCAAAGAGAAGCTGTTGGCCGATGCCAACAAGCTGCAGGCCACTCTAGCCGCTCCGAGTCCTGCCCAGCAGTTGACTTTGAATGGAGGAGGATCAGCGTCCACTCTTTCCAAACCATTAAAACGGGGCTTAAAGAAGAGAAAGCTCAGTGAGCCCCTAGTGGACTTCGCTATGCTATCGGCTAGCGCTAGTGGAACTCCCAATGGCAGCGGAAGCAGTAATGGGAATACCAAACGACGACACAAGAAATCTCAAAGCAATGACAGTTCCAGTCCCGATGATCATAAGTTGCCGTTAAAAAAGCGCCACTATCTATTGACTCCAGGAGAGCGTCCGCCTGCGGAAGTAGCATTCGCCAATGGGAAATTGAACGCAGAGGCCTGGGCTGCAGCGGCGGCGACTGCTAAGACCACTGCGTCCACCAAATCCCAAGCACAGTTTAATGCGAGGAGCGTAAAATCGGCACTAACGCCCAAAAAAAGACATCTTCTTGAGCAACCTACGGCTGTGAGCGGCTCATCGGCAAGTAATTCTCCTCTGAGGATTGTTGTTGATAATAATTCCATAAGCGGTGGAAAGTTACTGGATATAAGTCCTAGTTCCTTGTGCTCACTTAAACAGCAGAGGAGAGGAGGAGCAGCTAAACAGAAGGTGTCTGCAGCGAAGGACTTGGTTCAGCTTCAATCCCCAGCTGGTAGCTTTCCTCCCCCTGGTGTGTTCGAGCCATCTGTGGAGCTGGAAATCCAAATTCCTCTTGGTAAACTGAATGAATCCGTCATAACCAAAGCAGAGGTTGAATCTCCACTGCTCTCAGCATTAGATATTAAGGAGGATACGAAAAAGGAGGTTGGCCAGCGCGTTGTCGAAACCTTGCTTCACAAAACGGGAGGCAATCTTCTTCTGAAACGCAAGCGGAAAAAGATAAATCGAACGGGATTTCCCACTGTTCGCAGGAAGAAGCGTAAGGTTAGCGTGGAACAGCAAACGACAGCCGTAATGGATGAGCCCGAGCCGGAGTTTGATCCCGATGATGAGCCACTGCAATCCTTAAGAGAAACGAGAAGTAGCAACAGTGCCAATGTGCAGGTACCACCCAATCCTCCACTGGATTGTGAACGAGTTCCCCAAGCAGGCGAGGCCAGAGAAACCTTTGTGGCCAGGACCAATCAAAGAGCTCCTCGCCTATCAGTCGTGGCTCTGGAACGCCTACAGCGTCCTCAAACACCAGCTAGAGGAAGACCGCGAGGTAGAAAACCTAAGAATAGGGAACAAGCTGAAGTTGCACTTTTACCGCCGCCCAAATCGGAACCTGAGATAAAACCAGCCAAGAAGCGTGGTCGGCAACCCAAGCAGCCGGTACTGGAAGAGCCACCTCCCACACCACCTCCCCAACAGAAGAAAAGCAAACTGGAACCAAATATTAGATTACCAGATGGCATCGATCCCAATACAAATTTCAGCTGCAAGATTCGCTTGAAGCGGCGAAAGAACCTAGAAGCTGGAGCCATACAAAAAAAGGAGAAACCAGTCCAGCCAGCTGCGGTGGAAGAGATTCCTCCAGAAATTCCCGTCAGTCAAGAGGAAATAGATGCAGAAGCAGAGGCTAAACGGCTAGACAGTATTCCTACCGAACACGATCCTTTGCCTGCCTGTGAGTCCCACAACCCCGGCCCACAGGACTATGCCAGCTGCAGTGAATCCAGCGAGGACAAGGCATCAACCACTTCCTTGCGGAAGCTATCTAAGGTTAAAAAGACCTATCTTGTAGCAGGACTTTTCTCCAATCACTACAAACAATCCCTGATGCCGCCACCAGCAAAAGTGAATAAAAAACCAGGCTTGGAGGAGCAAGTGGCTCCTGCGAGCCTTCTACCACCTCCTTCCTATTGCGAAAAGTACCTCCGAAGGACTGAAATGGACTTTGAGCTACCCTACGACATATGGTGGGCTTACACTAATTCCAAATTACCCACTCGAAACGTTGTGCCATCCTGGAATTACCGAAAGATTCGCACCAATGTATACGCCGAGTCAGTGCGTCCGAATTTGGCAGGATTCGATCATCCCACCTGTAACTGTAAGAACCAGGGCGAGAAATCTTGTTTGGACAACTGTCTAAACCGTATGGTATATACAGAGTGCTCGCCCAGCAATTGCCCGGCTGGAGAGAAATGCCGAAATCA